CTCTCTCTCTCTCTCTCTCTCTCTCTCTCTCTCTCTCTCTCTCTCTTTCTCCCTTAGCGGCTGTAGTAGAAGAGGGGTAAAGACAAACAGAATGCAAGGGCAAAAGAAAGAAGACAGACAGGCGAATAATACATTTATCTAATAAAGCAACGGAATGCACTTAAATTGAAATAAAATCTTTTTAATGTACTTTCTCACTAGTTCGATGTTTTGTGTCAATCTAATGGATTTCGACATATTATGGTAATCTGTTTTATTATTTATGCAGCCAGCACTGCAACAGCAACGACACACACAGGGCAAGAGCAGAGAGCAGAGCAGAGTTGCTAATGCGCAGAGCTGCCACTGCGGCCAAAGACAAAGTGGACCAGAGGCAGAAGCAGAGACAGGCTCAGCGGCGCTAGCAAAAGCAGAAGCAGCATTTCTCCCCCTTCTGAATCAGTGGCCAAGTGGGGCCCAGTCTCTGGCAATTCTCTGTGCTACTAATCGGTGTGAGTGCTGCTGCAGTTTTCTCCGTCTGGTGGCTGGTGAGCACAGTTGAAAGGCTCTACTGAAGCAAACGCGGCCACCAGCAAATGGCAGTGCCAATTATAAAGTGAATAATTAAAACCTTTATATTAGCCTTTATGAACTACTCCCTCTGTCACTGTACTTCCTCCACTTTCGCTTTTGGGCAGCAGATTGGCGCCACTCTCTGTCACTAGGGCTGCCAGAACCGCCATCGCCGTCGCCGTCGCCGTCGCCACCAGACACCACCGGCACCCGTGGCGTATTTTGCCCTGGTACTGAGCACTGAGCACCGATGGTGAAGGAAAGAATGAAATAGAGCAATCAGCATAATGGCGAACGTCAGTTGCTGAAGATCTGCTCACTCACTCATCTCCCTCTACTTGCTATTTGTATCTATTAATATGTCATCTTGTAATTAGAATTTGATTCTCCTGCTCGGCGGATGGACGAAATTTAATTTGCAGTAATGCATGCCGCCCGGCTTATCTGCTGTATATGCAAACAGACATATCGAGGCAATCGCTTATCGATGGCTGCAATCGAACTCAAGCAAAGACGAGCAATTTATCAAATTAAAGTTCCAGCACTACCCAGTGTCAGAAGAAGGGAAAAGGGAAATAGATAGTAAGGGAGGGAGGGAAAAGCAGAGACACACCGAGTAGAGTAGCACCGGAACAGACTTTCTCTCCCACGTCCACTATCACTCTATGCCTTTCTCTGGCCACTGGTCGCTCGCACATCTGTCAGAGCGCATAATAATGTTGTAATTATTAATACTGCATATTGCCAAGTTTGCTTGGACAACAAGAGAAAACTAGAGAATAGGAAAAAAGCCATTAGAGAGCTGGCAACATCAGCCACTGCCAACTGGTGACCTGAAACCATTCAGCTGGTGTGGTAATTTGTCTTCTCATTTATACTTTTTGCTTCAATCCGAGGGTAGGGAGAAGGCGAGAACAGCTAAGCGCACTCGGTATTAAGCGACCAAAAAGTGAGTAGGGAGAGAGTACAGCTCTAGTAGTACTAGGATCACCACGTTTCTCTTTGTCGTCGTACTCGTCGTAATATCGCCGGTTATCGACGGCGAATCAAGTTGATTGATTCGAACAAGCAGCGGGATGTGTCAGCAGCAGCAGCACCAGCACACAACACTCTTAGACTGTATATTACATTACTCTACACTCTTCGACGACAGCAACAGCAGTAACCGAGGTGGTTCTTGTATCAACGACACCGGGTAATGGTCGTCGTCGTTGCCTTGTTGTGCTGGCAAATGGGGCAAATGGCGCAGACGATTCAATCTCAATTGGTGATGAATGGCGGTGAATGCGTGTGTGCATGTGTGAGCACATTCCACTGTTCCACGGCTGCCTATTGCACGCAAAGTCTGCGCCTCTCAGTGAGCACGCATCATTTGCATCATTTAGAGGACCAGGCCAATTTGACTGCATTAGCACTGGTCGGTGGAGAGTGCAAAATGCACTCGTGCCACACACTGGGCGCATTCAGTGCTCACTTGCATTGGTTGCTGTTGCCATTTGGCGGCGAATATTCCTACATTGATTCCTCATTCTCCTCTGAGAGCAGCACCACTTTGCGGCATCAATCAAGCGCCCAGCAAAAAGCATTGGCAGAAAGTGCTTGAGTAGCAGCAACAGCAGTAGCCGACGACGACGACAACGACGTCACTCATAATTGAGGGCGTTTCAATTGAAGTTGAAACCGAAAACTCTTTGCTGTAATGAAAATTTATTGCAATCAAATTCAAAAAGCATCCATTTGATCTGATTTGCTTAGTAGATGCAGTGAAAAATAAAAGAACGCTACAAAGTTCATTTGCTTGTTTGCCAAAGTAGTCGTCTCTGTCGTCATTGCTTTATTGGCGTCCTTTGAGAAGGCGCAGATACGGGTGGCATTGATTTGCTTAACAGGACTAGATTGCCCTTTTACCAGTAACCCTTGTCAGTAAAAAAAACAGTCAAAGAAAAAAGAAACAAAGAGTTTACTGCAAAGAAAATAAAAGTATGTTCACTGGAAACAGTCATCTTGAGCGGGCGCCATTTCAGCAGGACGATCATTTCGACATCGACAGCAGACAATGCTCAAACGGAAATGGACGCATCTCTGAGTCGATCGGCTAGTGCACACCGCAGAATTTGGCTGCGGCTAATGACATTTACCATCTTTGAAATGGACTGAGGCAATACGAAACTGAAAAAGAAAGAAAACCAGCAATTCTGCCTTCAGATAAATACCCGTAAATTGACAGTCGAAGGGAGTGAATTAGCAGATAGCTAACAAACCTCGACACTACTAACACAGTGGTTCGATAAACAGTCAGTTTGTAACAATACTTGATAGCGGCCTTATTGTGCCTCTCCCTTCCAGAAACGACATTAGTAAACGCTTTTCAATTTTCTGCAATAGCAAAAAATGCTGTGAACCAAGCAAAACCACAGAAAAAGACACACATTTTGAATAAACAAGCACTCTGCCAAGATTGAATTCGTTTTCCTGTTTATCTTCTTTTTAATAAAAAGTCATTTTAAAATGCAATTCAATTTAGCTGATCAACTGAACTCACTTTGGCAAATGCGCGCCTTTCCATTTCATTTCAATCCAACAGCTGATAAGTTCAACTTTTCAGCAATAGAGGGCGCTTTGCGACTCAACTCAACTTTGTTTTCATTTTTTCTGCCGGTTATTCTGTTTTGTGCTCGGTTTGATTCTTTACAGTAATCCCCAAAATCAAAGTAATCCCCAAGATGACAGATATTAAAATCACTCCATTAGGTAAGTAAATTGTGTTTTAAAAACTGTAGAATAATTACAATGATCATTGTCATGTTTACTAGGCGCCGGACAAGATGTCGGTCGGAGTTGTATTTTGGTTTCCATTGGATCGCAAAACATTATGCTCGATTGCGGAATGCATATGGGTTACAATGATCAGGTAGGGATTAGACAGTAAATAAAAGAGATTAAACTTACACATTTTTATTTCCAGCGACGATTTCCCGACTTTTCGTACATCACCAACAACGGTGAAACTCTTGACAGCTTTCTTGACTGTGTCATCATTTCGCACTTTCATCTTGACCACTGTGGCGCTTTGCCATTCATGACTGAAATGATCGGCTATTCAGGACCGATTTACATGACACATCCAACCAAGGCAATCTGCCCAATTCTTCTGGTAAATGACTTTTGTTTATTTACAGCACTACTAACTGACATTCATCTGCTTTTGTAGGAAGATTTTCGTAAAATTACAGTTGAGCGAAAAGGCGAAACCAACTTCTTCACTTCTCAGAACATCAAAGATTGCATGCGAAAAGTTAAAGCAGTCAATTTACATGAAACCGTTATAGTGAATGATGATCTGGAGATCAAAGCCTACTACGCTGGCCATGTGCTCGGAGCGGCAATGTTTCACATAAAAGTGGGCCAGCAATCAATGGTTTACACGGGTGACTACAACATGACTCCTGATCGGCATCTAGGCTCAGCTTGGATTGACAAGTGCCGCCCTGATGTTCTAATCACTGAAAGCACCTACGCCACCACTATTCGCGATTCAAAGCGCTGTCGTGAACGAGACTTTCTCATGAAGGTTCATGAGTGTATTGAAAAGGGCGGCAAAGTACTGATTCCCGTGTTTGCACTTGGAAGAGCACAGGAGCTGTGCATCCTTCTGGAGACTTACTGGGATCGAATGAATCTGAAGACGCCCATCTACTTTGCTATTGGTTTGACAGAGAAAGCCACAAACTACTACAAACTGTTCATTCCTTGGACTAATCAGAAAATTAAAAAAACATTTGTCAAACGAAACATGTTTGAGTTTCGACACATTAAACCGTTTGATCGAAACTTTGCCGACAACAAGGAACCAATGGTTGTCTTTGCAACTCCAGGTGAGTCATTTATAGATGGTTAGAAATTTTGAGTTTTTAAGTTGCATTTTTAGGCATGCTTCACGCTGGTTTGTCACTGCAGCTGTTTCGAAAATGGGCACCTGACCCGAATAACATGGTAATCATGCCTGGTTACTGTGTCGCTGGAACAGTCGGGTATCGCATTTTGAACAATGCCAAGAGAATTGAGTTTGAAAACAAGCAATTTGTGGACGTCAAGCTGCAAGTGCAGTACATGTCTTTCAGTGCCCATGCTGATGCTAAAGGTGTGTGTGTGTAAAGTTGTCAATGGAAGTTTACTTGACATAACTTTTTCTTCTGCAGGCATTATGACGCTGATCAAGCAGTGTGAGCCAAAGAACGTAGTTTTGGTTCACGGAGAAAAGTCAAAGATGAAGTTTTTAGATGGAAAGATCAAGGAAGAGTTTCACATTGACTGCTTCTACCCAGCTAATGGTGAAACGATAAACATTGCCACTCAAACGTCTTTGCCAGTTGACGTGGACGTGGCCTTCTTGAAGCGTACCATCAACAATGGCATTTCTGATCCAAAAAGGCAAAAGCTGATGCACGGCACTTTGACTATTCGCGAAGATGGCGACAACTTTGAATTTAAATTAAACTCCACAGACAAGCTGAATGAGTTTGGCATAGAGACTTATCAAATTAAATACAAAACTTTTATCAGGTTTGCTCGTGAATCTAACATTGCATTTCTAAGTCTTGAAGAAATTACCGAAGTCATCTATACTATGCTCAAAAGGTACATTCTTGTAAATGTGATAAACAGTTTGCATACTAATATTATTTATACCTTTTAGCAAGTTACACGACCAGCACTTTATCTCTAAACCAAGCGAAACAAAAGTTCAAATTTCAAACGTCGAAGTATGTGTTCAATATGATTCAGATCGGGAACCAATTCAAGTTGCAATCATTTGGCCTGAGGAGGTATGTCTAAAAACCATATTGCACTTTACTAACTAGTTTTCCAAAATAGGAGGAAGCTTTGGGAAACTTTCTCCTTAGTTATATCCAAGGATTGCGGCAACTCTTTATACGATCTACTACAACCAAGAGTGAATAAATGAAACCATGTAGAAAAGACAACTAATTAAATGCATAACTTTATGCATAAATTTAAGTTAAATGAAATTTGGTAAATTGTGTACAAAAAGTGTTTGGCATGACAGGACAGAAAACTTTAAACCAAACTGACACCTACGCATCACTCGTAGTCTGGTCAGCGCTCTCCTGTGCTATGATCTTCTTGAAGTTGTACCGATTCAGCTCCTTTCTAATCTCCTGCACAATAGACTGAGTCTCCTTGCTGAGCTGAATCTCGAGAATGTTTGGCTGGTACTTGGTCTCCTTCAGCGTCTCCTGCGTTCGCACGTAGCTGATGCGGTCGTAGTCAGAGCTGGAGCCATCATCAATGGAGCTGGTGCCCAGGGGGATGAGGCGTTCTCGGTGGTAGACGCCGGGCAGTCCGCTCACATTCGGGTCCGGATATGATCTTTGGTGGTAGTCACTGTAGCCACTGTACGGGCCACCACCGTAATCATACTGACTGCTTTTGTCCATTTTGTTGTCAGAGGACTGGGCAGCGGTTGTTCCACCAGTGGCATTTCCTCCTCCCCCTTCATTTTCTTCATCCTCATCATCTTCCTCGTCTTCCTCCTCCTCCTCCTCATCCTGACCATAGTTCCAGTGAGATCGGTCTTTCACCTCTTTACTTCTGGTCGAGTGCGAAGGCATGACCCGGTTAATATCTCGATTAATGGACTCCAGCCACTGTCGCCTCTCTCGTCGGTGCTTGAGGTACAGCAGAGCAATGAGCAAAAGACAGGAGGAGAGGACCAGGAGGAGGGTGATTAGCCAGCCTAAGCTGAACCAGCTGATCAGCGTCGCCGCCGCCGAGTTGTGAGGGGTGCGCCCGTCATCACTGTACCCTGCAGGTAATCAGTGGCATTAATATCTCATTAGTAGTGTGTTTCGAAGCGTCTTACGTCGAACTTTGTCCACCACCTCGTAGCCTGTCTGATTGTAGATAAAGTCCGTCGAGGCGAAGCTCATCACCTTGACGGCATCCTCGAAGGGCAGCAGTACGCCGTCCCTCTCCAGGTAGTAGATAGCGTCGATGGTCTGCGATGAGTTATCCACCTGCAAGTCCCATATCTGACAGTGCAAACAAACATGTATTTTCCCCTTTTTAATGAATGTGTTTGTAGTTGGTAAACAATATTTAGCTTCTTACCGTCACATTAATGGTGCCATTTCCAACTGTTGCTGGCGATGATAGTGTATGCCTCCTTTTTACTTGATGACTTAGATGCTCTTTTTGCCGGTTTAGTGCGTGCTGATAAATCTGCTGAAGAGTCTCTTGAAAATGCTTGCTGAGATTGCCCCTGTTGATCGGTGTGGATTCACTACTGCTATTCTGCTCGTGATTCCGGAACACTGAAAGTCAAGTCATTGGTTTTAGTTATTGGTGCTTTGGACTTAAAAAACAGTGTTTCCGACCTGTTCGCAGAAGAAAGTTTTCCAGCCAGTTTTTTGAAGATGCTCCAGTTTGGATATCCGGTCCAGTTACGTTTCCGACCGGTTGTTCATTGCTGGCGGTCTGATTAGCGCCATCACAAGGGCACTTTGTCGATGAGGTGGAATTGCTAAAGGCGACTGCAGGCGAAACGTGTCTTTCAATTACATCGTGTCTATTTGCATGTCCAGTAGATTGGATTACCGCTCGGAAGTGATGGCTCGCTTGGCCTAATGCTGACCACCGGCGTGTGCACTGGACTAGTGACGTGATCGACATTGCTCTTTGTCTGCTGCTCTTTCTGCTCCTCAGACTGCTCGCTGAGATGGCTCGTTGAGATGGCTAAGCTCGTTGTTGTGATTGCTATTCGCCGTGATTAGTTATGTCTAATTATACTATCGTCAATTTAATGATTCATCAAATTTTACCCGGTGATAGTGTAGATGTTGCGATGGCGGCTGAAGGCGATTTGGAGATTGTGCTAAAGGAGGGACTCAAGTGTGGCTGAAGTATTGATTCAGAGGCTGTAGGAGTGATGCTGCTGTTGCTATTGTCCAGTACCACGGGGGTGGTGTGAACTGAATAGGAGATGACGCCACTGGACTCAACTGGAATCGGTCCATCGCCAGAGTGCTCGTAGTAAAAATCAAAATCAAACTGAGGCCACTCTCGACGCATTTCAACGCAGTTGGCAGTGCAATTGGCGGAAGCTGTGGATGGGAAAAGCGAGAGTGATTAGCATTAATGCCGATGATTGATGACTGGAGTACCCAGTAGCACTTACCACACTGCCCAAAGTGTACGGCCAGTAGCAGAAAAGAAAGTATCACATATCTGGGACCTAAACTGTTCATCGTGCACTGTGGCACTGACTGACTTTTGAGCTGAAACAATCAAACTGTGGAATGACCAGTCACTGGTGGAGGCAGGAAAGGTTTGAGAGAGAAAGAAACGGCAGTGACACTTTAGGTCGAGCATCAACCACTGGCAAAGCACACAATCGTTCAAGCGTTCACTCACGAATCCTCAACTGCAACAGCAACAGCAGAAACAGAACGTCGACACCCATTGTGTAGTGAGGAAGGGTGACTCGTCGGAAGAAGTGCTTGCTAATAACTGCTGCTCACAGCTCAGTGAAGCCATTGTCTGTCATGCAGATTAGTGAGGAGGCACTTTCGCAATACATTGCACTGGTGGTGGTCACCGCAGCCGCATCCTACATGCATTTCCGCTTATGTGACCGCGGTCGTGGAAGCTAGTGTTGGCTTAGTGGACAGGTGCAAAAGGTGAAACAGTATGGGTAAATGATTGCTGGCAAAGGAAGAGGGTGCTGCAACAATGCTGCTGAATCATTGAACAACCAGTTCTCGAGTTTGGGTTGGCCAGTGAGTTTGGGTGAAGAACAGATTAAGAATAAACCAACACAAAAATGAAAAGATAACTTGTAAGCGGGTGTTGTGCAGTTTTGACTGTTTTGCTCTCCTCTACTTTCGTCTGCATTGGGACTTTGTGTTTGCGTGACAGGTAGATTCGCGCCAGTACCATGGCAATGGAGTGAATCACCAAAGGCAAAGTTACCTGAAATGAGTCAATTATATAGAATTAGACTTTTTTTATTGACAAAGTTCAAAGTGCATGTCAGAGTGTACTGGTCAATTTAGAGTGCACCACAACAACATTTTTTTGTTTTTCAACAACAATACCGCCCTTAGTTAGCAATTGGCAGTGCTGCTTCAGCAGTTTCAGTGGCCACTGAAGAGCACTTGAGGTAGTAGTCGCCGGCAAATGGTGGTCCTCGCTTGGTCGCTGACTGACACGAGTCGCACACTGCATCGGCCACCGGTGAACAGGCATGTAGGGTGTACAGTGTCGGACCGCACTGCGAACACCGCAGACACTGCTGACGATGGGAGTGATGAGGGGTGTAGGTGCCACCCGGACAGGAGCTGCACAGTGTGTCCTGCTCACGAGTGCATCGACTGGCCATGAACTGACCAGGGCTGCAGCGAGAGCACTTCAGCGAGTGATGGTGCCGGTGTCGGTGCTGTTGTTGTTGTTGTCTCTGTTTGCGTACCGCCTTCTGAGCCCTTCGAATGCACTGTCGTCTCTTGCGACCTTTGAGCGTCCTGCGACACCATCGACGAGATGCACGTGGTGTCAGGTTGTCGGGTGGATCGGGAACAGTCGAGTTGAAACGATTTGCGCCATTTTTAAGCAAATTCGGTACAGAACTTTCAGTTTGATTAAGACGAACTGTTCGTAATAACTGGTTTTTAGCTGGCTTTTGGTTCACCCTATCCTTTTGGCGATCTTTTTTTAAAGGTGAGTTTTTCGGATCAGCTATATCATTTTTCTGCAGAACTTCCTCGTTTGTGCTGCCCTGAATCAATAAAAAGAGAGTTGTGAATACTACAAAAACAAAGCCAATGGTGATGACCGAGTTGAAACACTTGTAAAACATCATGTTGTTACAGCGAGTGATTGACACGATGTTCATCGACGACTGCAACTGCAAAAGGCACATATCCTCGGTTTAAGCTTGTCCATGTCGATGCCAATTTTAGGCGATTAGTCGTCTAGACAGATAAGGTTGTCATGGTTTAGTTTATCACAAAAACACTAAAGTAAACATTGAGTGACTGAGTACGGAAAGATGGTAGGTACCCCCAAAATAAAACAAAGTGAGACGCCCATACAAACACACACATGGCACAGTATTTGCACAGCGTCCACCACTGTTACCAGTGCCCATTTGACCTTTCGCATGACCTGCTGCTGTTGTTTCTGCCAGGTGAGCTATCACAAAATAAAAAAATAAAATAGACAATTTTGTTTAATATAATTCAACTAGATTATATTTATTAAATTGTAATAATTAAATTCATAATCATTAACAGATGAACATTAGAAAATGAGAGAAAAAGGGAGACAATATTTTGTGCTATTGAATCAGGTGGGTCAGGTTGTGGTTGTGGTTGGGTTGGGCTGTTTGGGGGCGGTTTGTGGTCAGTGGTTGAAAGTGGTGATGGTGTTGGTAGTTTTGGTGGTCGTATGTACAGTAACTGGACTAGAGACATATTTGCGTAGTTGGAGTTGCCGTTCCGTGCCGGCAATTCACAAAGTTTTGTATAGACTCTGGTCTGTATAGTCCAATCCACTTCTTTTCTACAAAGAAAAATGAGTGTGTGTGCGTGTTTTCTTGATGAGGAAATGATGTTGTTTAAAACTCAGGTCGGTCACTGACTGACTTGGGTACTTACAAGCGTAGAACTTAACAGCGACGGTAATTCAGAGAGCATAAATATAAATCAACGGCGGTGAATAGACAATTTGCAAATAAATAATAATCATCCGGACAAAGGTAATAATGATAAATAAATAATTAAAATAAGTAATTCGTAATGCCAACAGAGATGCGTAAGAAGAAAAAGAAAAAGAAGAAGATAGAGACAACAGTGTGGGAGAGTGGGAGAATCTTGGAGATGTGCAAACGAAACAGAGATAGAGGATAGTAACTAGCGAGTAGAGAGAGAAAGTGAGAGCAAAAA